CAAGCTCTAAACATGCATCACCACAAGACAATGCATCAAATCTCACAAAACACAAGAATCACAAGTAGAAGCCAAGAATCATCATATAAGTAAGAAAATATGTTTTGTAAAGCATGGGTTACCTTTGTAGCCTATTAACTTCCTCGTTTCACCCTTAGAAAGCCTTTCCTAAATCTCCTCTTCTACACCAACTTCATACAAAAACCAAAACACAACAAAGACTCTAACTTTAGAAAAAGACACCTAAAAGGAGGTTAAAACACCAAAAGACCAAGGATCTTACCCTCCCCTATGCTCAAGATGAAGAAAGTAAGAATCTTGGGAGACAAACTTGCAAGACTTGGATGCTCAAATTCTAGCTTGGAGAAGAAGCTAAACCATTTTAGAGAGGGGTAAGAAGTTTTTGTGTTTAGATTGAAGGGTGAATGAAATGAAAGAATATTGCTAGGTTAGCTTGAATCACAAACCATAGGTAGAAAGACATTCCTACCCTTACTAATGTTGGAAAGGCAAGGAGACAAGGGCACAACTCAAGAAGCAAAAGGTACAACCCTTTGACTTAATGACTAGTCAAAATCTAGTCCTTCGACTATTAAATTTCATGATTTTTAGGAATAGATTAGCAAAGAGACTTGGATTAATTCTTTAATTAATCCTTGGTTAGCGTTTGGATTTATGGGGTGTCACATCAACACAACTACTTTATCATTTCGATATAGGTACAGTTTCATTGGACAATATACACTCAAATATCTAAAACTATTATTCAGTTTCATTTTATATACACTGCAGTTTCACTTCGACACAACTACAGTTTCATTTCAATTCAATTATAGTTTCATTTGATAATATAAAAATAATATGTGAGACAGTTTCATTTTAAGTACACAATAGTATCATTTTGTAATTGTCACACCAAAATTACGCGCTCCGTTAAGTTTTAACAGTGGTCGTTTCATTACTTAAAGAAATGGCACCGTTTTTGGACCATGATCTACGATATAATTGATGTACATTTCTCTAACCTAATACATATATCTTATGTATCTATCATTTTATCCTGTCCGCCCCTACACAAAACGTTCTAGAATTGTCTTCCTCGCCACTCCACTCTCACTCTACACTCACACGCCATTTCCATCTTCCACCATTAGAAAAATTACCTTCATCTTATTCAAGAGGAAACTTACCAAGATTCATCTTATATTCATCTACATCACAAGATTAGGTAAGATCCTCCATTCATTTTCATTTTCCTTCATCATTTCACCATCTTTATTACATGCATTTATTTTTCTATTTTTGGGTTTTTAGGTACTTAGAAGATCAAGGTGAAGAGGAGATGTTAGGGTGATCTAGCTTGGAGATTTGAGATTGGATTGCTAGCTAAGAGGTAGGTTCCACGCATAACAAATCTATTTTCATTCCAATATGTTTGAGAAATTCATTCTTGAATCTATTTAGTATGTTCTTGTTGATATTCTTGAGCTATGCCTTGTCTTGGCAGTACTCTTGTGTTGTTATTGTGCCACATTCCTTGTTGATATTGATAGTGTTCTAGCCTTGTTCTTGAGTGTTCTTGATGATTTTTGGCTATTGTTTGGTCTGATTCTTCACTGTTGAGTTGTTGATGAAGTACTGTTGCATTGCATAGCTTCTGTTCTGTTTTTTCTCCGCTGTTTAGCCTTGTGGGTGTGACTCACGGGTGGATGGTGCTCGTGAGCCAACCCCGCAAGGAGGGGACAAGTGGTATTGGCGGGTGGTTGGTGCCCGCCAATCACCTCCATGTGTGTCACGGTAGGGAGAAACGGGCACCCTGCACCCGCCCCTCCTACCTGCCAACCACTGAGTGCACTTCACCTAGTGTGTTTTCCTTTGGTGCAATTTTGGTCATCCTTTGGTGCATTGTTAAGTTATTTAGTACATTGTACATTCTTTTGCCCCATTTATGGATCATTATTCTACCCTGAATCGTAGTCCCTTTATATCCATTTGGTTTGTGTGCTATATGTGGGTGTGTGTGTGTGTATATATATATATATATATATATATATATATATATATATATATATTCCTTGAATATATTATACTGTTGAGCTCCGACCATTGCATCGGTGAAATATAGAATATGAGCTTTGTGCCCCATTTGCTTTGGTGGAATATGAATTACATAGGTGGAAGGGAGCTTTGGCTCCGCTTTGATGGATAAGGTTTGACTGGTGTTTCGGATGGATTGAAGTATGGTTGGATATTGTATTGTATTGAATATTGAATATTGATGTATGAACTCTTTGGCTCTATATATACATATATACACCACTATACCATGTTGATGCGTGACTCTTGGAATCACTATTGTTGAGTAATTTATGGTTATCCCTGTTGTTGGCTTATGAACTTGAGTTGGGTTGTAATCCCATTTCTTGGTTATTAAATCTAAGTTGATTTGAGTTAGTTCCCCGTTGTCTTTCTTGAATCGAGTCCACTTGAGTATTCTATTAGTTGAGTCTTTGCCTTGTGGCTTGATCTTTATTGACTGAATATCTATCTTTTGAAAACATATATTGAGTTGGTTCGTTGAAATATATTCTATATGTCAGTCTCAAAACTAAATTGAATATCAAATGTATACATATGTAGTTTTACATGTTGAGAGTGAAATTTACTTAGCATTCTTTCATTAATATTTTAAAATGTATTTCAGGTATAGAATAGATCCTCGTTTGAGAGCACAATAGCCGAGCTTAGCTCTATGCCCTTGTTAGTAGTATTTTCTCTTTCGTTAGACTTTGTGTGACACCCCGTAAATCCGAATTTCATTTAGGGATTAATTAAGTAATTAATCCTAAGCTAATTGATGATTTATTCCTAAAAATCCTGAAAATTCAATAGTTGGGGACTAGTAATTGACTAGTCAATCTAAGTCAATGGGTTGTACCCTATGCTTCATGAATAGTTCCCCTGTCTCCTTAATCTTTTCTACCTTAATAAGGGTAAAGACGACTTTTCACCTCATGATTGTATCCCAAGCTAACCTAGAGTATCTTTCACTCTTTTCCTAACACTCTCAAAACAAAAAGCTCTTCCTTCTCTCTAAAAATTAGCTAGCTTCTTCTTCAAGCCAAGTCTGGGCATTCCAAGATCTTCCAAGTTGGTATCTAATATTCCACCTTTCTTACTATTGAGCATATAGGAGGGTAAGATCTTTGGTCGTTTAGTGTTTTAGTGCTTTTTAAGGTGTCTTTTCTAAAGATGAGATCTTTGTTGTCTTTTAGTGTGTTCTTGAAGTTGATGTTGAAGGAGAACCTTGTTAGAAGCTTGTAATGGTGCAATAAGTGAAGGTTTAGGCTATAAGAGGTAAGCCATGCTTTACAAAATCTATTTTACTTACCTATATGATGATTTCTTGACTTATACTTGTGATTTTACTATGAAATGTGAGATTTGATGCATTGTGTTGTGAGAATGCATATCTAGAGCTTGTTATTAGGGTTCTTGTATGCCATTGCTTGGCTATTCCTTTGATTCAAGTCATATTGTTGTATTTTGTGAGATTTTGGGTGTTTTGGACTTGAATGTGGACTTGGTGTTGAAAATCACCGAAGGGATTATTTTGCTACAGCGTAGTGTAGCCGCGGGCGGAACGGCGGGCAAAGCTCCACCCGCCGCCCCAACCACAGGGTACATGCCTCGTGGGAAGTGGTTCCTTCCTTGTTGAGTATGGTTTCATATCTTTGTTGTCATCCATTGATTGATTCCTATGATGATGTTGTGTGTGTTAGCTGTACCGGAATTGCATGATTAATGGAATGGGACATTAGTCACCAAGGTACGGCAGTGGTCCTCGTGGTGGCCATGACGTGATTATGGAGTTGTGAACTGGGCTATAGGCTCATGTGCTTTGGGTGGCTTCAGGCCGTGTATTGAACGGTATCCTCGTGTACTATGTTTTGGTGGAAATTGTTAGTGATCAGGGGTCCCGAAGGTAATTGTTGGAACTAGTTATAAGGTTGGGGGTACCCATAAGGTTGGAACCGGGCATAAGGATGGAACATGGATTATTGTATTCGTGATGGGCGATGTCACGAAGGCATGTGTTGCCGATGTGTGTTTCTCTATCCTTATCTGTTGAGCATGTTGGGTGGTATTCTACTTGGTGATGGTAGAATACACATTGAGTTGTACTTGTGTTGTTGTTATTCTTGTCTTGAGGTGTTTTGGGATGTGATTTCCCTCGTCCTTGTTGTGAGTGAAATAGAGTCTTTGCAGTTGACTTCTATCTTGGGCTTTGAACTGATATATACGTTATTCCGTTTCGAAAATGATTTTGTATAATACTATCTATGTATGATACTTAATGCGTATTTATGGGTTACCAGCATTATTCACTGACCCGGCGTCGTCCCATTTCTTTATGTGCTTTACAGGTCCCGAGTAGACGATGAACGCGTTAGACATGGATAGATTAGACTCCCTGGACTGTTTAGACTGTGTTTTGGGCCTGCGTGCCTTTTCTGTTAAACATATTAGTTTGTTGATATTGGTGTTTGCCTTTGCGTTCACATTGATGTGAACGTGGCATAACACTCCCTTTTTCCCGGTTTTTAATAGTAGACTTCCGATGTGCTATGCTTTTTGTTTTGTGGTTAGTTTACCTTGCATAATTATGTTTAAATTAGCATGAAAATCAGGGGTGTTACAGTTGGTATCAGAGCCTAGGTTTGAGCCTAGGACGCTAGAGGCTAGACTTTTAAGAGGTTAAGTGTGGTTTGAGACCCTAAGATGACCATAACTATAAAAGTGTTTAGGACTTAGGACTCTTAGGATGCGCGGTGAGCTGTGTGTTATTTATAGTTTGCTTGCTTGCTTGTTGTTCTACTTCGTAACAGTGTTGTTGTTATAGAAGCTTTGCTACGGCACCACCCCGTCAACGCGCACGCACGCCGAAGACTCCAACAAACGAACAGCTAGCCCAGAATCTGCAACAGCTCACGCAAACCATGCAGACCCTCAGCGAAGCATTGTTGCACAACAATCACCCTGCTCCACCTCCACAGCCTGCCGGGCATAGAGATGTTGGACGCCTTGTATCGGTCCATGGACCTCCGACGTTCGTCGGTGAGGAAGACCCCGTTGTTCTCGAGGAGTGGGTTCGGACGTTCGAAAAGATCTTCTCGGTTGTTGGGTGCCCCAAGGAGCGTCGAGTGGAGCTAGCATCGTTCTACTTCAGCCATGAAGCCGACTTGTGGTGGGTGCACGAGGGACCCGCTTGTCTTGAGGAGCCCGGCTTTGACTGGACGGCCTTGAAGGACCGGATGCGAGAGCGGTTCTACCCGGCACATGTTCGAGCCGCGACGTATGAGGAGTTTCTGCACCTCTGGCAAGGTTCTTCGACGGTGGTTGAGTACCACAAGAGGTTTCTGGAGCTCACTCGCTTCGCTAGGATGCTTGTTCCCACCGAGCTCGCGAAAGTTGAGAAGTTCGTAGCCGGTTTGAACTACGAGGCTCGCAAAGCTTTGACCGTGAGCAAGCCGAGGACTTTGAAGGAGGCTTACTTGAGTGCCGCGGACTTGTATCGGGTGCAGCAGTTGCAACGCGGATCTTTTGAGCTTGCTAGGAAGAGGAACGAGAGTGGAGGATCTTCCAACTTCAAGAAACCAAGGCAGGATTTCTGAGTCACGAACGCGCCTTCCCCATCTCAAGAACCAACTTGAACGGAGTCCGGAAGCCAAGCCAAGATGTTTGCGTGCCAATGGTGAGGGAAAGAGCATGCGGGCAAGGATTTTAATTGTCATGCGCTCCGATGTTTCCGTTGCGGGGAGAGTGGACACAAGGTTTCTGTGTGCCCTCAGCAAGCTAACCAAAGGGCGTTGCCACCATCTTCTGGATCCGGAGGAGCATCGGGAGGGAGCTCGAGTCGAGGAGCAGCCGGAGCTAGACCTTCGGGTCGGGTTTTCGTGATGGGGCGATCTCAGGCGGAGACAGAGGGATTGGTCGAGGACGAGATGACAGGTAACCCTTTTCTAGCCTACCTTTGTCTTTGAGAATATATCTTGTTCCTCGTTGCCCTTTTGTGTTGCCTTGCTTCCTTGTTGTGTGATTCTTTTGGTCGTAAGTGAAAGTCTTTCGTGGAGTTAATTGTTTATCTCTAAAATGGGTCATACTTGTGTTAATTCCGTAGCCTTGCATATGTTGCGTGTAAACCAATCTTCCTTGTGAGTCATCTAGGTTTATTTAAGTGTCCTTTGAATTTATAATAGACCACGTATAGGAATTTCTTCTTGTGTAGCCCAAAAGACCAAGGGAACTTTAAAATTATAACCCCTAAGTTTCAAACATAAGTGTACCATTTACCAACCCAACCCTTGAATCACTTAAACCAATTATGCTTCTTGAACCTCATCTCATTTAAATCCCACTTAAGCTTTAATTGTTCACTTTACCCAAAATCCCCAAATTAAATCATCTTCTCTTTCCCAATTTTTCCCCAAAATCCCAAAACCCTCAATTTTTCCCTTCTCTCCCTCTACCCGTGTGCACCAGCCGAGACACCCCCTCCCACCTGCCCGTCGCATACACCACCCGTCGCCCCTGTCCCCGTCGCAGCCGAGCACCACTGCCGACGCCGTCACCTGCCGACGTCATCGTCGCTGGAGCTCCGCCACCGACCTGCTGTGTCTGTCGTGAAACCGAGAACAGCGAGAGAAAGAGAGAGCAGCGTGAGAAGAAAGAAGAAAGAGGAGAAAAAGCTTGGGGCTTCCCTTTGCGTCTTTGGGTCATCTTGCAACCATGCCTAGGAGAACAAGCTTGGCAAGGAAAGTGGAATGGGTAGATGCCCACTACCAAGTGTTGGAAGGTAAAGTTTTTGACCCGGAATCTTCTTCAAGTTCCTTGTTAGATATGTTGAGATATCAAGGTTTGTTGGATGGGTTTCTCGCTATAAGGGCCGAGACATACCCAAGTTTAGTGAAGGAGTTTTACCGTCACATGGTTGTGGTGAAAGATGGAGGAAAGTTGGAGGTGACCTCTAAGGTGAGAGGTGTGAAGGTTGTTTTATCTGAAAAGAGGCTGGCTCGGCTTTTGAGTCTAACCGCTACGGGAGTTTCACAATACAGTGGTAACTCTTGGATTAGTACGGATACCACGGGGTACCGGGACTATTTGAGTTATCTATTGGGTCGGACTAGCGGTTTCACCCAAGCCTCGAGACCGGAGAAGAAATGGTTGACCGCTGAGCAGAGAATCTTGGTTATGCTTGTATCGGATTGTCTGTTGCCCAATAACAACAAAAGTCGGTTGTTGGGAAAGTTAGAGTGTACCTTTGCCTTCTGTCTGAAGAACATGGTGAAGTTTAATCTGCCTGCCCTGATGTTGCAACATATGGTCTTTTGCCGAGACCATAACCGGAAGAGTCTACCGTACGTGATGGTTTTGAGTTGGATCTTTGCCAGGAAAGGCGTGACTGTTGAAGGTTGTGTGCCGAAGCCCGTGGGAAAAATGGTGTTGGATGCCGCTAACCTACGGAGTTGCAACTTGTTCCAGTTGGATGACGGTGAGTACATCACGCTTGAGGAAGTTGCCAGGAAAACCCCCGAGGATAGAGACGAGTTGGTTGTTGAGCTCGAGATTCCCGTTGGGAAGTTGAACCTCGCGGTTCAGAGTCTATGAGGTGATGTGGGGGATGATGAAGAAGAAGGCCAAGAAGAGAATGCGGAGGTAGGAGAAGCTGTCGTGGTTGAGGAGAGTGACTCGGAGATTGAAGAGAACCGGAGGAGGAGAGAAGCCCGAACCAAGAGAGAGCACGACACTATGACACACGAGGAGCGTGTGGTCACCCTTCTACGCCAGCAAAACAAGATGATAGAAGAGGGCTTTGCTTTTATGAAGACGCAGCTCGTTGCAGTTCATCAGAGGTTAGATCAGATAGAGGCCAGCTCAAGCCAAAGAGGAGATGATGAGGAATCCAATGAAGACACCAAAGAATCGGAGAACGAGTCGTTCTAGTGCGGTGTTGTGGTAATCCCGTCTACCTTTCCTTAGCTTGTTGTTACCTTTTACATTGTTGCTACCGTTTGTTTGATGCTTTGTTGGTTGGTTTGTGTGTTCGTTCTTGTTTGCTAGTTGTGTTGTGTAGTTAGCTTTGTATGTTGTTCCTCTAGGATTTAGTTGTTAGAACGTTGGTGTGGGTTAGAAGTTTAGTTGTGGTGTTTGGTTTAGTTTTTGATATGCTCAAAGAATTCTATTGGTTAATCCTTTTTAACCTTGTTATGTCATGACATCTTGATCATTTTGTACCTTTTGAATCCGTTAAGTTTTGACCAAAAGGATATTCTTGACTCTCTTGTCACATCGTTGTTTCGTTTTACCGTTTTGTTTTGATTCATTGTACCCAAGCTTCGGGGACGAAGCTTCTTTTAAGGGGAAGAAGGTGTGACACCCCGTAAATCCGAATTCCATTTAGGGATTAATTAAGTAATTAATCCTAACCTAATTGATGATTTATTCCTAAAAATCCTGAAAATTCAATAGTCGGGGACTAGTAATTGACTAGTCAATCTAAGTCAATGGGTTGTACCCTATGCTTCAGGAATAGTCCCCTTGCCTCCTTACACTTTTCCACCTTAGTAAGGGTAAATAAGACTTTTCACCTCATGATTGTATCCCAAGCTAACCTAGAGTCATCTTTCATTCTTTCCCTAACACTCTCAAAACAAAAAGCTCTTCCTTCTCTCTAAAAATTAGCTAGCTTCTTCTTCAAGCCAAGTTTGGGCATTCCAAGATCTTCCATGTTGGTCTCTAAGATTCCACCTTTCTTACTATTGAGCATATAGGAGGGTAAGATCTTTGGTACTTTAGTGTTTTTAGTGTTTTTTAAGGTGTCTTTTTCTAAAGATGAGATCTTTGTTGTCTTTTGGTGTGTTCTTGAAGTTGGTGTTTAAGGATAACCTTGTTAGAAGCTTGTAAAGGTGTAATAAGTGAAGGTTTAGGCTACAAGAGGTAACCCATGCTTTACAAAATCTATTTTACTTACCTATATGATGATTTCTTGACTTCTACTTGTGATTTTGCTATGAAATGTGAGATTTGTTGCATTGTCTTGTGAGAATGCATATCTAGAGCTTGTTATTAGGGTTCTTGTATGTCATTGCTTGGCTATTCCTTCGGTTCAAGTCATATTGTTGTATTTTGTGAGATTTTGGGTGTTTTGGACTTGGTGTTGAAAATCACCAAAGGGATTATTTTGGTACAGGGTAGTGTACCCGCGGGCGGAACGGCGGGCAGAGCTCCACCCGCCGCCCCACCCGCGGGATACATGCTTCGTGGGAAGTGGTTCCCGCGTGCGGAACCACGGGTTGGGGTCCACCCGTGGCCCCACCCGCGGGTACAATGATGGTGTTTTTTGGGGATTTGTTTCCCATGATTCTTTTGACTCGGTAATTGATGTTTTGACTTCTCGATGTTCTTTTGTTGGTCTTTTTGAGTGTCTTCTTAATGTTTCGTATGTCTAGAACTATATGGTAGGAATCCATGTAGGTTTTGGTGTCTTGAATCGTGCTAAGTGTTCAACCTTGTGATTCGTTGAACCATGTTGAGTCTTGTGTAACACCCCCGATTTTCATGCCATTTAAAACTTAATATGCAAGATATTCTAACCACAAACATAAACAAAACACAGCGGAAGTCTAAATATATAAACTGGAAAAAGGGAGAGTGTTATGCCACGTCCACACTAAGTGAACGCACAGCCAACAACATCATCAACATCAATCTAAGAAGTCTATTAAAAGAGGCACACAGGCCCAATACATAACTAAAAGAGTATGGGGGGCTAAACTAGCCATCTCTATATCGCGCTCACCACTACTCGGGACCTGAAAAACACATAAATAAATGGGACGACGCCCGGTCAACGAATGATGCTGGTAACCCATCAATACACGTTAAGTATCATACATAGATAGTATATAAAAAATCATTTTCGAAACGGAATACTGTATATATATAAGTTCAAAGCCAAATATAGAAGTCAACCACAGGACTCTATATCACTCACAACAAGGATAAGGGGAAACACATCCCAAGACACATCAAGAAGTGACAACGATAACACAAGAAAGGCTCAAGGTGAATTCTACCATCACTCAGTAGAATATCACCCGACATGCTCAACACAAGAGAATAAAGACACACACATTGACAACACATGCCTCCGTGGCATCACTCGTCACGAATAGAGAAACACACATCGGCAACACATGCCTTCGTGACATCACACATCACAAATACAATAATCCTTCCTTATGCCCGGTACCAACCTTATGGCTACCCCAAACCTTATAGCTAGTTCCAACCATTACCTCCAAGACTCCTGTACATCCAAGTCCAACCTTATTCCTCCGAGGACCGTCGTCCCCATCCACCAACAAACCACCAACAATTTCCACCAACAAAAGTACACGAGAGTACCAATCACACACAAGGCCACAGCCAACCCAAGAATACGTGAACCCGACACATAGGTCACAAACTCCATAATCACGTCATGGCCACCACGAGGACCACTGCCGTACCTTGGTGACTAATGTCTCATACCATTAATCGTGCAATCCAGGTACAGCCACACACACCACACCATCATAGGAATCAATCAATGGATCACAACAAAGATATGAAA